CAGGGAAAGTGAGAATTTCCTGCCCCAAAGCACAGACTCAGTCAGCCCTACCTGATGGAGTCAAGTCAAGGGGTGAGGGAAGGTTGGCGGTATCCACCATGTGGTCACGCCCTTGGCTCTAAGTTCAGAAATCAATTTTTCTTTTTAATTTAATTTTATTTTAAAGATGTGGGGTACAATTCAGGATTAAGTATACAAGTAGATATCGTTCGGGTAAAGTTTGAGCCTCCCTTTGGTCCCCACTTTGCCTGGTTTGAGATCGGGTACCCTTATTGATGGTGTGTCACCGCCCCCCCAAAATTTATTTTTCATTGAATTTTACTGTGAAGATCTTGCAGTAGTTCAGTATGGCTCGGCTTTCGGGATGCCTCCATGCTTGGCTGATACTGTGTCTTCGGTCTGGAATTTCCTTCTTGACTGCCTGGCAAGCTGCCACCCGCATTCTTTAGGGCCCAGTTGTAAAGTCGTTAGGGAGCCTTGGATAATCCATCCCCAGGCAAAATTAGTCACCACCTCTTTCACGTTCTCAGAACACTTGGTTCACACTTACTGTTTGCAGTATGTACATCATCACAAGCTGGTGACTTGGGTGTTTTTTGTTGTTTGTTTTGTTTTTTGGTCTCTCCTACCGGGTCATGTTCTCTTCAAGGTCCAAAGGAACCAAAAACTTGTCTCGTTCATCTTGTTGAACGGTGTCGCATTGAGGTTGAGTGTCCAGGCTTTGGAACCACACATGCTGCTTGGTTGAACCTTGCACCTCCTAGTTCTATGACTTCTCTGATTCGGTGTCCTCATCTGTAAAATGGGCAAATTCAATGCCTATCTCATAGAGCTGTGAGAATTAAACAGATTCATATAGAAAAAAACAGTACAGGTCATGTTCCAAGTGCTAAGTAGGCACTCGCTTATTATTGTTCCTTTATATAACAGTGTCTAGTCCAACACATTAGCTGCTCAATACATGTTTGTTGAATCAATGAGTTAATGAAAGAACATTAGAATGTTTTTTATTTTATTTATTTATTTTTTGAGTTGGAGTCTCACTCTGTCACCCAGGCTAGGGTGCAGTGGCACCATCATGGCTCACCATAGCTTCAGCCTCCTGGGCTCAGGTGATCCTTCCACCTCAGCCTCCTGAGTAGCTGGGACTATAGGTGCATACCTCCCCACGCAGCAAATTTTTTGATCTTTTGTAGAGATGAAGTCTTGCTATGTTGCCCAGGCTGGTCTCGAACTCCTGGGTTCAGACAGTCCTTTCATATCAGCCTCTCAAAGTGCTAGGATGATAGGTGTGAGCCACCACACCCAGTCTACTATAATGTTTTATTATTTGTTTATTTGTTTGTTTATTTATCTTGAGTTGGAGTCTCACTCCATCACCCAGGCTGGAGTGCAGTGGCACATTCACGGCCACCCCAGTGTCAACCTGCTGGGCTCCGGCGATCCTTCTGCTGCAGCCTTCCAAGTAGCTGGAACTACAGGTGCACGCTACCATGTCTGGCTAATTTTTTTATTTATTGTAGAGACGAGGAGGTCTCACAAGTTGCCCTGGCTGGTCTCAAACCCACAGGCTCAGGCAATCCACTCACCTCAACCTCCCAAAGTGCCGGGATTACTGGCTGTGCCACTGAGCCCAGCCTACTAGAATGTTTTAAAGAACATCTATTCTCAGAGGCAAAAACATTTGCACATTTTCCATACTACACATTGACACATTATTTTTAGTTTAAATATTCATCACTTTAAGAAGCACAACCTAGAAAGCTTAGGATTTCAAAACAATTGCTCATCACAAAAGTTTTTCATAAAGAGATCTTTATTTGAATTTACTAGCCACTCCTTTAATATAGACACAAGCATTAACTGATGAATAGTTGAATATCTCTCTTCAGACGAACTGAATGCGAAAAATTTAGTAAAAGCCGGGTGCAGTGACTCACGCCTATAATCCCAGCCCTTTGGGAAGCCGAGGTGGGAGAATTCCTTGAGCCCAGGAGTTCTAAAACAGCTTGGAAAACATAGCAAGACCTTGTCGCTACAAAAAATACAAAAATTAGCCAGGTGTGGTGGTGCACATCTGTAGTCCCAGCTACTTGGGAGGCTGAAGCAGAAGGATCACTTGAGCCCAGAAGGTCCAGGCTGCTGTGAGCTGGTTTTACACCACTGCACTCCATCCTGGGCAAGAGAGTGAGATCTTGTTTAAAAACAAAACAAAAGATTAATAAAAGAAGAATATTTAAATAAATACAATATGATTTGAATATTATTTTTTTCCAGGAAAATAAAACTGTTCTAGTTGGTCAGACCAACATTTTGCATGGAAGGTTCCTGAAGGAATGTTTTGGGAGAGGGCACAGATATCTGCGCACATGCTGCCCCTTCCAAAACTTAGGATTAAATGTTCCATTTCTTCCCCCGCATGGAGGGAGCCTGATCTATTATTCTACACCAGGAAATAGTCTTTAAATTTGACCACTAGGGAGGACTTGGCCAACACTTCTATTTATTTATGATTTATTTATTTATTTACTTGTTTACTTAGAGTCGGAGTCTCACTCCGTCGCCCAGGCTGGAGTGCAGTGGCACACTCACAGCCACCCCAGGGTCGACCTGCTGGGCTCCGTTGATCCTTCTGCCTCGGCCTTCCAAGTAGCCGGAACGACAGGCGCGCGCCACCCCGCCCGGCTACTTTTTGGTTTATCACAGAGACGAGGTCTCACCAAGTTGCCGGGACTGGTCTCGAACTGGACTGGCTCAGGCCATCCACTCGCGTTGGCCTCCCGAAGTACTGGCATTACAGGCTTGAGCCACCGCGCCCAGCCGGCCAACACTTCTTCTAGAAGGAAGGCTTCAGCTTCATCTGGTTGGAAAGTGCCTTTCCTCCTGGGGCCTGGCCATTTCGTGTCCCAGAAAATGGACACGTTGTGCAGTAACCTCACGCGCTGCTAGATTCGTCCCGGACCTGCGGGCATTCCATTGGCGGAGTCTCGACGTGCTGGGTCTCTCGGAAAAAGCTGCGGGGTGGGGGGGGGGGAACAGCCGGCTGCAAACCTCCACCGCCAACCGGCTCTGCCTCCCTGAGGCCCGGCTCGCTCAGTCAATCCCCAGGAAAGAAGCTCGCCCTCTCTGGCTCGCTGCTCGGCACGGAGACGCGAGGAGCCAGCCAGAGGCTCTTGTCCTCCCCGGGCCCCACCCGACGGTCCCGCCACCAAATGCCCAGGGAGAGGGTCCGGGCGTGGGGTATGGGGGGGCTAAGTGGGTGCAATGTGGGCGCTGAAGGGGGTGGAACTTCCGGGGGGGACGGAAGGGAAGATGGAGGGGGCTGCGCGGACCTGACCTCCTGGCTGCGCAGGGAGTGGGCGGCTGTCAGTAACGAGAGGCCGGCCAGGTGGAGGGTGCGGGCAGGACCCGACTGCCGAGGACGCGTAATTGGTCTCCCTCTGGGTTGAGTGCTCGGCTCTTTGTGCGCGGGGCCCAGATGTTTTCCCGTTGCCATGGCGGCTGGGGCCGGGGTAATGACCGCGGAGCGGGAAGATGAGGCCACAGAGGTTTTTTTTGCTTTTTTAAAATTTTTTTTTTAATGCGGATGACAGGAGCTTCCCGTTGGGTACATCTGGAGCACTTTCCTAATGGGTTTTTAAACTTTTCCATCATCTGCATGCGGGCTAGCTTTGGCTCAGCTCACCCCAAGGCCTGCGGGGGAACCCAGATTATAGAGATAAATCCAAACCCACAGCAGTGGGGCTGTGAAGCCACTTGCTGTTCGAGACACTAGTGGGGGTTAGGGAGCAGGGAAAAGATGCGACAAAACGGGGGGGGTCCTTTATGGGTCACCTGGAGCGACGCTGAATCGTGTAGGGGCTTTATAGTAAAATCCCTTAAGAAAATAGCCTGTGCATTTTAGATCTTTAAAAAATGTGTATAGGGCAACCCCTTCAGGTCCCCTCCCACTGTGGGAGCTTTTCTGTCCTCTTAGTACATCCTGCTTTCTCACTTAAAAAAAAAATGTATATATATACAATATAAGATGGGCCTGGAGCAGTGGCTTGCATTCATAATCCCAGCAGTTTGGGAGGCTGAGGCAAGAGGATTGCTTGAACCCGGGAGTTTGAGACCTGCCTGGGCGACATAGTAAGACCCCATCTCTACATTTGAAAATTTAAAAATTAGCTAGGCATGGTGGTGAGTGCCTGTAGTCCCAGCTACTAAGGAAGGCTGAGAGGAAGGATTGCCTGAGCCCGGGAGGTAGAGGCTATGATCATACCACTGCACTCCAGCTTGGGCGACAGAGTGAGAACCCAACTCAAACAACAACAGATATTATCCTTTTCCCCATCTGAGTGTCCTAGGAGTCCAGCATCTGTGGGGTTTTGGACTCCCCCAGAGAGGGCAAGAGGACACAGCCTGCAGCCCCTCCACGGCAGGCGGTGAGGACATGCGCCTTACATCTGCGCCCAGCTTTCCTGGATTAGCCATGCCATTCAAGCTTGCCAGCCCACAGGAAATTGCAGCAGCTCATGGCTGCCAGGAGCTCGGTGCCAGGTGCTTGCTGGTTATGTGGCCTCGCTGGGGACCTGCATTTCTACAGGCCACATAAAAGGAGGCCTCTGATTGCTGAGGATCAGGAGTCTCTGACTATTTGGGAAACCTCTAAAAGGGGTTGATTTTCTATCATTTTCACATCCTGAAAGGCGTCATGGGCCTCTGCCACCCACACACGTGACATCATTGCCGCCCATCTCTGGGTGTGGGGGTCCTCCTGCCAAGTGAAACAGGGCTCCAGCTGGGGCACTGGGCTCTGCTTCTCACCACGCATTTATCTGGAGTCTGATCTGCATTACAGCCACTCAGTAAACTGTCCCTGACTCTCACCTCAATCAACAGCCACAAAAGGCAGACTTGAGGGGAGTTTCACTATTATAAAAGTTGTTATAAAAGTTGTTATAAAAGTTGTATGGACCACCAGAACTAACCCAACCTTTGTGTTTACTCCCCTTCAGATGAACTGGGAAGTGAAAACGTGAAAGTGTAAGTGTTCCCACTGCTTCCCAGCCAGCCGGGTGTGGGCCACAGCTAGGGAGAGGGGATTAGTGTCATCCTCACGGGTTGTCCTGCTCCTGGGTGGGTGATGACCCCTGGCGCCCTGAGGGGGATGCCCACTCCCTGCCCAGCGATCCCAATGAGGAGATCCTGGGATTGACTTTTTGTCATTGTCCTCTGTTCAGAAAAGATTCTCCTTCACTGCCACTAATTCCAAGTGCATAGTAGTTGAAGTATTCTGACCCTGGTGTATTTATTCTAATTAAAAGTTGTATTAGCCGGGCTCGGTGGCTCAGCCTGTAATCCCGCACCTTTGGGAGGCCGAGGTGAGTG